CTGCTGCCATCGCGAGTGTGCCGGCGGCTGCTCGGGTCCCAAGGACACAGACTGCTTCGTACGTCACACACACACACACACACACACACACACACACTGTCTCTCTTTCCTTCATCTTCTACTTCTTCTCTTCCTCATTCCAACTTTCCACAGACACTTCTCAGCCGCCCCCCCCCACCCCCTGCCCTCCCTCAGCTTCCTCCACTGTGTCTGTCCACGTCTTTCATGCAACATCTGTTTGTCATCCTCGCCGACAGAAAATCATCCGCTTTGTTTACAGCCTGACAAATTGTTTGTCATTACACAGGGCCGTAAAAACCACAGTGGCTCCCTTCAAAGAACAAATTGGTGATTCAGTGTTCCAATTAATATCACCTCAACTTCTTCCTGTTGCACCAACTTGTGGCGAGGATATTGTGGCTGTAATTCACAGAAAGGTTCATCCAATCCAATTACTGTCGCCTCAGCCTGAAGCCACAGACGACGGAAACGCTTAAGGGGATTATGGGAAAACATTTCAGCGTTTACATCATGGCAGTGGATCAGTGGCTCCGATTGTTCTGTAAAAGGAGTCCACGTGTGACGCAAACATGAAATGCGGCTGTAACACTCGGCGCTCGTGTGTTTTGGTTTTTTTTCCGCAGGCTTGCACCAACTTCAACGACAGCGGAGCGTGCGTGACCCAGTGTCCTCAGCCGTTCGTGTACAACCCCACGTCCTTTCAGTTAGAGCACAACCCCAGAGCCAGGTACACGTACGGAGCCTTCTGCGTCAAGAAATGTCCACGTAAGTCTTCTGGTGTAAGAGCAGAAAAACTCTCCACGCAGCAGATACACATACGTTAACACTGCAGCAACAAAGATGCTTATGATGGTTTTCATAATGGAGTTTTATCGTCTGTGCCGCGGCGTCCGCTGCAGAAGAAGCATTTATCCTCTCATCTATCCTGAAATCAAACTCCAGGCGATTGGTTAAAGTCGAGATAAATGACTCAAACATGAATGAATAAATTGTGTCTCACTCAAGTAGTTGCTGCACCGTCTGTTTCAGCTTCTGGCAGCTAGACACAAATCTTGATTCTTTCGGGTGTGGAGTCAGAGTGCAGAGATAGAAGTGAGGCTGCATCAACAGATTGTATGTTCAACTTCCGCTGATCCTCAAATGAGCAAACTCACACAAATACGGTTCATTTACTTTTTCCGAGCAATATACACAATTAGTTTTGATCATTAAACGAATGTGATTAAAAGATGATTCATTTCACAGCTTTGGAGGAAACGCTGTGATTTTAATGGTCTCACATGATGTGAATCTGCAGCTGGAGTCGCTTGTGGTTAAACTGGCCTCTGGGTTTTACAGATAACTTTGTGGTGGACCACAGCTCCTGTGTCAGAGCGTGTCCCAGCAACAAGATGGAGGTGGAGGAGAACCGCATCAAGATGTGCATCCCCTGCACGGACATCTGTCCCAAAGGTAAAACTGTGATTTTAACAGAATCCTGCAGAAAGGCAGCACGGACGGTGCGATGGAATATAACACAGCACGAGATGATGTGATACCAGGGCTGTCGTTTGGAAACGTGAGCAGTGGAGCTCACGGTCCAACAGTTTAATTATGAACCCACATTTAAATTGCACCAAATTCCACACACAAGCTTCGTGCGTTTTTCTCTTGCATTGAATATTCCTTAAGCTCCTTTTCATGTTTGAACCTTTCGATGTGTTTTGATTTTTGTAGACGTCCACATTCATAATCCTGCCTTTTGAATGTTTGTTTGCTAAAAGACACCTTAATGGACATATATGCATCCATCCATCATCTATACCACTTATCCTTTGAGGGGTGTGGGGAGGTGGAGACAATCCCAGTGCAAAGGAGGGACGTGTAAACTTTTCAAACCGTGTCCCACAGAGTCACTGACAACAGTTTGTGTGTGAGGCCCATTGTTTGGTCTGATGGTTGCAGTATAAGTGTCAGTGTGTCACCTTGAGTGACTTTAACCTTCCATCACCAGCACAGATTTGATGAAAGCAGGAATGATGATGTGTTTTATTGCTTGTTGTCCCAGGGAGAGTCTGCAGATTTGTCTGAGAGAGACGTTCACAGACAACAGATGGAGTTTTATTACATTACATGGAGGAAGGTGCAGTGCAGGACACGCCACGTCCAGCAGACGTTATATTTTTACACTCATTCCCCCGGGTTCCCTCCATTGCACTGCGTTTACTGTATGTACAAGAGCTTACTCAGTTAAACCCTTTTAATCTAATAGCTTTAGGCGAACGGTGATGATACTGGATCAACAGTCGCCCTCAGGAATTACTTCAAAAAGCTTTAAAGGGAAAAGTAATTTATGTTTTAACAGAGGAAGCTTAGCTGTATTTAAATTCTGATAAATACACTTAAGACCGATTTATTGATTTTAATTAATCTATCAGCAGACGTATTTCCACTCTGATGGGATTGTTGCTTCGTCCTCGAGAATGTGGCGAACGCATCACAGACGAAGGTCACGTGTTTGACCCTCACAACAGTGAGCGCGTTCCCGTGATGCGGTCCTCTCCGACCTGCTCCGTGGTCACGACTCCTCCTGCACAGGAGCGTCGGCTAAAAGAATAAAACGTGAAACAGATTCTTCCTGCTGTTCCCACAAAGGCGACTTCCCTTCGGAGGGAAGACAGCGGCGAGGCTACGGCGCCCATTGATTGGCTAATCTCTTGATTACATCGTCACGCAGCGGGGAGGGGTTAATGAGGGATAGCCTGAGGAACTGTGGGAAATGATAACAAATTAACATTTCAGATATGGAATTGGCTGGTATAAATCACTATCAAAAACTGGTTACACCACTTAATGCAAACCTTATTCATCATCGCTCCTCCTCCTCCCCCCCCCCGTCTCTGTCAGAAATACTTGGCTCACACTAGACCGCAAGTGTAATTAATGCAGATGTAATGAATTCATTACAGCGAGGAATTGGCTGCGGATTGGTCCGTGCTTTCACAGCGAGGGGCCACGGCCTCGTCCATGCACCAAAAGCACGGCTGTATTTTCCTAAGAGAGTGAAGAATTAAAAGCTAATAGCGGTTTCATGAGACAAGGTCAGAGCTGCACGAGGACGCTTTGAAAATAAATCTTAAATGATTTGTTCACAGCCAAAGCAGCAAAACTGTTAATTACATGAGGTAATGTGTGAGCGTGTTGTTTGTCAGTGTGTGACGGCATCGGGACGGGCAGCCTGCAGACGGCTCAAACCGTGGACGCCAGCAACATCGATAAGTTCGTCAACTGCACCAAGATCAACGGCAACCTCATCTTCCTCATTACTGGCATTAAAGGGTGAGTGACACACATCCAGATGAAATGTTGAAAACACACTAGGATCTGTGCATGCAGCGAATCCACAGGAATCGTAACAGCAACACGAAACTAAGTGAGTCGGACGTGGAAACAAACAGTCCTTCGTTACCCTCGCGCTCTGTGTGACGGCAGATGTGACTTGGGAAAGTCAGCGAGCTGGTTTCAGTCACAAACCTCTGTCAAAGTGCCAGAAGCTCTGAGATCACGATGAAACTACGAATGTCACAGAGGAGAAAAAAAGAAAGACACAAACACTTCCTCTTAGTTTGAAGATTAAAATAATGTTTTCGATGACACACAAACTCATGACATGGAGAACGGAAAGCTTCGCATTTAACAGGAGCGTCGGGAACACTTGTTAACACGTGTTACGGCAAACGTCACTCACCCAAAAACTCCTGTGACGTGACTCCACCTTGTCAGTCGACGTGGTTCTTTGGCGTCTGAGGTCGTCAGTTCCTTTTCCGTCAGCTTGTCAACAAATGTTTGTGTACCTCTGTGCAATCAGAGGCTCAGATCAGATTGAAGTAGGCCTCCCACCTGCAGGGGGAGCTCAAGCGGTTCTCACATTGAGTTGCTGTAGTGATACCATCAGGCGCACGCTCATGATGCCACAGGAACACAGCAGCGTTTTAGTGTTTGTACTTTTATTGAGAAAGTTTTAACTGTGTGTGTGTGTGTGTGTCTACTTCAGGGACATGTATCACGGTATCGGACCTTTGGACCCTGAACGCCTCAACGCGTTCCGCACCGTGAAAGAGATCACAGGTAAAGAACGCTTCACTGGACTCACCTTGGAAGAACTGTGTGCGTGCGTGCGTGCGTGCACGTGTGTGTGATTTGTTTGGCTTCTGAGGCGTCAGGAAAAGATGGAAGCTGATGCTGGAATCTAAAAGCTGATGGGTATTATGTTGCTGCTGCTGGTGTGTGTGTGTGTGTGTGTGATAGTTGTACGTGCTCGCAGTGTGTACAGCTGTGTGTGTGTGTTTATTCATTAGCTATAAGAGGCCTAAAGGGATGAGCAGTACCTCATATACAAACCCTTTTGTCATATTAAACTGTAACTTGCAGTTGAGCCAAACACCTAATGGAGTGAAACTGCATTTTCATAATGAAAACCAGAGCAATAAGGAAGAGCAATGGCCGCTCTACCCCACTCATTTCCTGCTCCATCCCTTTAATGTCATTTCCACACATGCTGATTTGATATAATCTGTCATTAAAGCCAAGTGCAACCGGACAAATTGTGCTGAATGTTAAATCCATCTTCGTAATTAGCATACATCATCTTCCCGCCTGCGTAGAATGGGTTCTTCAGACTCCTGTTCCTTTTCCCGCTGCTTCGTTTTTCGTCGCTTATCAACGAACGATGTTTTCGAACTGTCTGCAGGTTACCTCAACATCCAGTCTTGGCCTGAGAACATGACGGATCTGAGTGTTTTCTCCAGCCTGGCGACCATCGGAGGCCGAGCTCTCTACAGGTGCGTTTTGTTTTCACGGCACATCCTGAACCAAGTCCGACCCCGGACATCCTCCTGCTGCGTCTCCACATCAGAATCGACTGTGTTTTATTCCTGATGACTGGTTCAGACACATCCTGGTCCCTCCCTCTGTTCCTGTGTTCGCATGCTAACCCCTGCAGCTAACGGGCCTTGTGTTGTTCTGCACCGCGGCTCTTTGCTGTCACGTAGCTTTGATTAGTCTCGACTTTGATGACGGCTTCTGTGTTCGCTTACAAGCAGCAGATCCCAGGGATGGCGTCGTGCCGGTGTCAGAGGAGATCCCCTCCTTGTTTTCTAAATGCCAGCGATGAACATGTAGCTCAGCGTTCTTCATCGTCTCCTCTTCATCCTCCTCTCCTTTTTAAGTTGCATTCTTCCACCTTCTTTGTTTTATCTGCGTCAGCCTCCTCTTGTTTTCCTCCCGTCCTGCTTTCATCTTTCCCACTCTCCTCTATGTCCTATTATTCTATTTCCTACTTTCTATACCTCTTCATCATGTCCCACCCTCTTACCTTTTCTCTGTTCTACTGTCCCTTCCCTTTGTTTGTCTTTTAAATCCTCACTCACCCTTCTCTCCCTCTCGTTTCTCCCACCTTTTCATTTCCAAACCTTCCTCCTGACTTTTTCAATCTCTCATCCCTCTCTTCCTCCTGCTGCAGTGGAAGTGATATTTCTCTGCTGATCCTGAAGCAGCGCTGGATCTCCTCCCTGCAGTTCCAGTCTCTGGATGAGATCAGCGCCGGTAACGTCTACATCTTCAACAACAGCCGCCTGTGTTTCTACAACACCGTCAACTGGACGTCTCTCTTCCGAACGCCGAGCCAGAAAGTTCTGATCCGCAACAACCGAAATCCTAAAGAATGCAGTGAGTATCGTCTGTGGGACGGACACAAGTTTGTTTTCCCCTGTTTGCAAAGATCAGCAGATTCTCCGATTCCCTTCCTGTTGTGTCATTTCCTCTCCCATGGTTTCCAAACTGCACACGTGTGCTGCTCCACCCTGGGCCTCACACACCGACATGCCTGTTACCAAGGCGACGGTATCGCGGGCATCTCTTGCTCCTCGGCCTTGGACATGAAAGCCATGTTCAGCTCCCTGTGAGGAAAGTGCTTAATGCATCACGCGGACGTGGATTAAGCTCTCGCTGCAGGGGGGGGGG